TATACCGCTTCATAGGGCTTTCAGCCCTCTCTAAGCGGTTTACAGAGTCAGCATATTTCCCCCAACAACAGTCCGGCTCCTCATTTTACCCACCTCGGAAGGATGGAAGGCTGAGTCAACCCTGAGCCGGTGAGATTTGAACAGCCAAACTTCAGAACTGCAGTCAGCTGAAGTAGCCTGCAGTGCTGCATTTTAGCACTGTGCCACCTCGGCTCTTGGGACCAGAACCTCTATTACTAAGTGATGTGATTGTTAAGTGAATCAGGCCTAATTTTATGACATTTTTGTGATGGTTGTTAAGCAAAGCAATGATTCACTGTGATCCAGTTATCCAGAAGTAAATGCGGACTTATAACCTTGGAAGAGGAACGGCTATCAGAACTGGGTTTTGAAATTTTCCCACGGAGATCCATCATAACTTCAGATAGTTGTAAATTAAAGGTTACCAACAAAGTATAATTGTGTTAATAGAATTTGGAGCACAACCGGCACCCATCCATAGTTTTCCCATAATGTCAGCAAATCATAGATTTCCATTAGAACACATAGCCAATGTTTTTATAACAATATAAAACCAAAACTGGTACCTTGGATTTGCTCCTTCTGGCCATTTATCTGATTGTGACATGTTGATTTTGCTTCATTCAGCAAATAAATCTGTTCTTCTTTGGTTAGAACATCATCAGTGTCCACCTGCCAAACACATAAGGAGAGAGAGGTATGACACAGGGGGCTGCTCCATCCATTTGCATCTGGCTCCTTCTTTCCCAAAACTGGGTTCGTGAAATATCAATCCACCAAACTAGTCCTAGGAAAAAGAAATAGAACTTTATTTGAGTTTTATTTCCAAAACAAAATAGGGTGATCAAGTCTACTCGGCAAGACCTTCTGGGGATATTGTGCCACATCAGCTATCAAATTGACACCAAATATAATACAATAATTGTTATAGGACACACAAAGAGACAGACAGAGACATAGACACAGAGAGAGACAGAGACACAGAGAGAGACAGATAGACAGAGACAGAGAGACAGAGAGACAGAGACAAAGAGAAAGAGAGAGGCATAAGTTAGTCAGACAAAGAAGCACAAACAAAATTCAATAATCAGTCTTCATTCATTCACTCATTCATCACCACAGTTTGGATATCTAGTCCAAAGTAAAAGTGAAATAGGATAGAGAAAATGGGTTGGCACTCAAGGAGTCCGAACATTGCAGACTGAAGATAATATTTCTAAAGAAAGTGAAAGGAAGAGTATAGTATCCAGCTGCCAAGAGTTTTTCCTCATTGACTAGTTTCCAAATACCGAAGTTCTGTGACTCTTTTACACATTCTAAATTTAAAAAAAGTCATTGCATTCTAGCTCACTGGCAAGAAAAATCACCCTGCATTCATTAACCCACTCCATATTCTGGTTGGTTCCAGGAGTTGAGCAGCGTTTTTTCTGAAACTGGTGTTGATTTTATTGGGAGTCTGATACATACACGTACAGATCTTATACCAGGGGTGAAATCTAGTAGGTTCTAGAGAACCGGTAGTGGAAATTTTGAGTAGTTAAGAGAACCGGTAGTGGAAATTCCGAGTAGTTCGCAGAACCAGCAAATGCCACCTCTGGCTGGCCCCAGAGTGGGGTGGGAATGGATATTTTGCAGTATCCTTCCCCTGCCATGCCCACCAAGCCACATCCACAGAACCGATACCCAAAAAATTTGAATTTCACCACTGTCTTATACATATAATATAATATCTGGGACAAGTCATTTTTGGGATCCTTACAAACGTCTTCACAAGTTATGCTTTTAGGTACCACCAATTTCTCACAATAGTCTAATTATTGCTATTTTATACAGCTTCATTCTCTTTCCTCACCTTGAGGTGTATCTAGTTCCTGTGTTTTTGTTATTCACATATTTAGGAATTGCCTGAGAAGATACTCTCAGACGTACTTTAGCCAATTCATATAATTTGCATTCATTTCTTCACTGATACGCTGAACATGACTGTGCCTATATAATGCAGGGCTACATTTTGTTATTCCTGTAGTCTGCTGCTTAAAATGATAGCAAAGTAATGGAAGAAGAAGAAGAAGAAGAAGAAGAAGAAGAAGAAGAAGAAGAAGAAGAAGAAGAAGAAGAAGAAGAAGAGGAGGAGGAGGAAGAGGGTAAAGTATTGTCCAATAGTTTCAGCAGATCAAACCTATCACCCCTCTCCTGATCTTTCAAAAATTAAGCAGGATTAGGCCTAATTGGTACTTGGATGGTGGACCTTGGAGAGACTAAAACTTTATGTTAAGCAGGGAAAATATGGAAATATTCTGGAAGAAGAGAACTTCAGTCTTTGCTTCCCACAAAACTGTATGGATATGTATCAAGTCATCAGGAGTCAAGCTTTATTCCTCACTATCTCTCCCCTTTTAAATATCGAATTTATTGATTTGTTTACATTAATTCATGTATGGTCCATCTTCCAAGACTTTAGGAGGTTTGCAATAAGATTAAAAGAAAATATGGGTCATATGACCATAATTGAGCCCAAAATTTATGTTGCTAAGTGAGGCCATTGTTAAGTGAGTTGCACCTTACATTATGATCTTTTATGCCACAGTTGTTAATAGAATCACTTTGCCTGTTAAGTGAATCATGTGATCATTAAGTGAATCTGAGTTCCTCCATTGATTTTATAGGAAGCTGTCTGGGAAGATTACAAATGGGCATCACATGACACCAGAACAATGCAACCATCATAAATACATGCCAGTTGCCAAGTGCCCGAATTTTGATTATATGATCATGGGAATCCTGCAATGATTGTAAGTGATAAACGATCAAAATTCACTTTATCAATGCTGTCACTTTGATCGATCACTAAACAAATTGTTGTAAGTCAAGGACTACCTGTATATAAATTATAATTTTGCTTCTGAAGGCATATCATGACTGCATTCTATTAATTATTTTAATTGCATTCTAAGGCTGTGGCGAATAATACAAATCATTATATATTGATAGGGATATCAGTAAGGCTATGTTTGATCCCTCTATTATTTTTCTGGCTGAGGCTTTGGGGAACCTGAACTCCAGACATAGAGATTAGTCTAGATATTGGATGGATGGATGGATGGATGGATGGATGGATGGATGGATGGATGGATGGATGGATGGATGGATGG